GAGGTCTGGTCAGCTACTCCGGCGTGAACGGAGCGACGCGCGACCCCGGCTTCCTGCTGGCGGACGACACTTACGACGGCCCCCCCGGACCAGGTCACCTCCTGCACCACGGCCTAGGTCAGCTCTACGACGGCGTGCTCGGCAGGTCGCTCATCAACCTGGAGCTCCAAGCCTACGGCAGGGGTAAAGGTCGGTTGCAGCGGCTGGAGGCGGGTTAGCGAATCTCGTGTTTTTCGTTGTTGTTGTTGTCGTTGTTGTTGCTCGCTGGTCAGTCCTCGGTGGAGGGCTTAGTTAGATGTTTCTTTGTTTATTGTTTGTTGTTGTCATTTTTAAAATTTTTATTTCTTTTTTTTTTTTTTTTTTTTAGAGAGAGAGAGAGACAGACAGAGACAGAGGAGAGAGAGAGAGAGAGAGAGAGAGAGAGAGAGAGAGAGAGAGAGAGAGAGAGAGAGAGAGAGAGGAGAGAGAGAGAGAGATTTCTGTTGGTTTGCTTCGTTTGGTAGATATGGTTTTATTTGGGGATGCTATAAAGTTAGATGGATAGGAAATATTTTTTTTTCATGAAATATATTAGCATTTTTCTAACACTTATATCTGGTCACAATTTCACTTTTCCTTTTAGTTTTTCCCTTATACGGACATTTCCTCTCTTCCCTCTGCCTTTTCCTCTCCCACCTCCCTTCTCCCCTCTCTCTCTTCTCCTCTTCCTCCCCCCGTCCTTTCCCCCCTCTCTCCCCTCTCCCTCCTCCCACTCTCTTTTCTCCCTCTCCCCTCTCCTCTTTCCTCCTCTCTTTCTTGCATATCCTCTTTTTCCCCTTTTCTCTCCCTCTCCCCTGTATACCATCTTTTGAAAGTCTTAAATTTCTTAAAAAAAAAAAAAAATAAAAAAAAAAAAGATAGTGAGACAATGTCTTTTGTTAACTGTTGTAATTAACTTTTATTCTGTCTGGAAAGTCGTTGAGAAAATGGGTAATTGGTCGAGAAATTTGGAAATGGGTCTTGTCTTGGCTCATGTTTATTAGCCTTATAAGGATCCTTGAGGAAAAACTGTGGGGGGGGAGGGAGGAGGAGGGAAAGGGGGGGGGGCGAAGGGGAGGAAGGGAAGCGATGGGAAAGGAGGAAGGGAGGAGGAGGAAGGGAGGGGGGGGAGGAGGAGGAGGGAAAAGGGGGGGGGGGGAAGGGGGGCGAAGGGAGGAGGAGGAAAAGGGAGGGGAGAGCGAAAGGAAGGAGGAGGAGGAAAAGGGAGGGGGAAGGAAGGCGAAAAGTAGGGAAAGGAAGGGGGAAGGAGAGGAAATGAAGGAAGGGAGGAATGAAGGGGAGAGGAGAGGAAGGGAGGGGGGAGGGGAATAGGAGAGAGAAGAAAGGGAGAGAGAAGGAAAAGGAAGAGTGGATGAGGGGATGGGAGGGGAGGGGATGAGGAGATGAAGAGAGGGAGGGGGCAGGGGAATGGGGAAGGAGGGAAGGGGGGAAAGGAAGGAGAGAAGAGAGAACGAGAGGAATGGAGGAAATGAGGAAGAAAGGGAGAAAAGATAGAGAATAAGAGGAGAGGAGAAGAGGGGTAAAGAGGAAGGGAGAGAAAGTAAAGGGGGAGTAGAGTGGGAGACATGTATCCTTAGAACAAAGAGTGAAAGCGATGGGGAAAGAAGTGGAGAGGAGAAGAGAGAAGAGAAGAGAGGAGTAGAGAAGAGGGGAGAGGGGTTGCGCTAAAAGCAGATTTAGTGACGGAGAATTAGGAGGAGACGGAGGATAGAGGAGCCAAAGAGGTGATGGGAAAAAGCTGACAAAAATCAGATAGCCAGGGAAGAGAGAGAGAGAGAGAGAGAGAGAGAGAGAGAGAGAGAGAGAGAGAGAGAGAGAGAGAGAGAGAGAGAGAGAGAGAGAGAGAGAGAGAGAGAGAGAGAGAGAGAGAGAGAGAGAGAGAGAGAGAGAGAGAGAGAGAGAGAGAGAGAGAGAGAAGAGAGAGAGAGAGAGAGAGAGAGAGAGAGAGAGAGAAAGAGAGAGAAGAAAGAGAAGAAGAAAGAAAGAAAGAGAAAAAAAGAGAAAGAGATAAGGAGGGAGTGAGGGAGAGAGAGAGAGAGAGAGAAGGAGAGACGAACAGAGGTACAAATAGAGAAAGAGGAGGGGGGAGAATGAAAGAGAAGATTAGTAGCTGTGAAGTATACCTGCTGATGATTTAGTACAAAGCGATAATGATGAGAATGACAAGAGAAGGAAGGGAGATTCGCCTCTCGGTTTGCATGCCTTTGTCTCTTCTGGGCGTAATCAAAGTGCTTGATTAAACTCTCCGTTGATTATTTAAAGCAACGACCTCCTTGCTCTCCCCCCTTTCCCTCCCCCCCCGTCTCTCTCTCTCTCTTTTCTCTATATAATATATATATATATATATATATATATATATATATATATATATATATATATATATATATATGTATGTATGTATATATACTATATATATATATATATATATATACATATATATATATATATATATATATATATATATATATATATATATATATATATATATATATATATATATATATATATATACATATATATATATATATATATATATATATATATATATATATATATATATATATAATATATATATATATTATATATATATATATATATATATATATATATATATATATATATATATATATATATATATATATATATATATATATATATATATATTATATATATATATATATATATATATATATATATATATATATATATATATATATATATATATATATATATATATATATATATATATATATATATATATATATATATATATATATATATATATATATAATATATATATATATATATATATATATATATATATATATATATATAATATATATATATATATATATATATATATATAATATATATATATATATATATATATATATATATATATATATATATATATATATATATATATATATATATATATATATATATATATATATATATATATATATATATATATATATATATTTATATATATATATATATATATATATATATATATATATATATATATATATATATATATTATATATATATATATATAATATATATATATATATATATATATATATATATATATATATATATATGTATATATATTATATATATATATATATATATATATATATATATATATATATATATATATGTGTGTGTGTGTGTGTGTGTGTGTGTGTGTGTGTGTGTGTGTGTGTTTGCGCGTGTATGTATGTGTAAATATACATGTAACTGTGCGTTTGTGTATCTTCTATTTTTAGCCGTATGTCTCTTTGTATACCTGTTTATCTCTGTCTATCTTATTACATTTGTCAGTCTCTTTATTTTTCTATCTATCATTTACTTTTCATCTCCTCTCTTTCTTTCACTCTACCCTCTACTCCTTCTCATCCTCCTTCCCTCCCTCTCCTCTCTCCGTTTCCCTTCTCTCACTTCCAATCGTATTCCATCCCTCCATTCTTTCTCCCTCCCTGTTGCCATGGCAACTATGAATACAGAGAATCTTGCAAAATGAAATTATTGTAAATTCCAATTGTTGGTCCCCGTGTAGGGTGAACCATTGTGGGCGTGGCATTGAAATTGCGTGTCGACGGTAATCTATTGTTTACATTCATGTGCGTAAGCGTGTGTGCGCGTGTGTGTGTAAACGATCATTATTTGCGTTCATTCATTCATTCATTCATTCATTGTTATTTGCATTATTGATCGCGTGGTTTATGTTATTATTATTAGCATCCTTATTGTTACTTCATTTGTTTTTTATACTTTATCTTTATTATTATTAATGGTATTATCTTTGTTATTATCATTAGTATCAGGATTAGTATCATAACTGTTATTATTATTGTTATGATAATAGTTTTTATTATAATATTTGCCTTTTTTATTATTGTTATTATTATCATTGTTTTTATTATTAATTGTTATCATTATTAATGTCATCATCTTTTATTATCATTATTGTTATCATCGTTATTATTATTGCTATTTTTATTACTCTCATTATTATTATTGTTATTGTTAATGTCATTATTATTATTATTGTTATTCTTGTTATTATTAACACTGTTATTATTATTATCATTATTATTATTGTATTTGCTGTCGTTGTTTTGTTGTTATTATTGTTATTATCATCAATATCATTGTTGTTTTTTATCATTATTATCATCATTAGTATTAGCATTATCATTGTTCTTATCATTATTATCATTATTATTAGTAGTAGCAGTAGTAGTAGTATTTATATTATTATCATTATTATCATTATCATTATAATTGTCATTATCCACATTATTCTCGTTACTGTTGTTATCACAACTATAGTGATGCTTTTTTCATAATATTTATTTCTATATATACGTTTGGCGAGCTCTGAAAACACCGTCGTTTCTCTCGTTAAGTTATTCAAAAATCTTCATATCAATCAATATATATGCATATACGTTTTGATCCCCCCCTCCCCCCCACCCTTTCTGCGCTACAATATCCTGTCCACGCCGACGCCGTAATGGTTAGCGCACAGAAGGATATCGAAGCATACTAAAGGATTTGGCGTCGATCCTAGCCTTCCCTTTCCATCGACATCCTGGTAATCCTTCCCTCTCGTCTTCGGTTATACCTTATCACAGCAGCGCAGAAGGGCGCATATCCCTTGAGGCGAGTCGGCGGCGTTATACTGTGACTGCTGTATGGCAATTCGAGCAGCAGACAAGGAACCCGGGATGGGAGCGCCTGCCGCCAGCGCATGCAAACGAGGGCCGCTGCAACAGTTAGATTATTGCATTTCAAAATTTCAATCTATTTCAGATGTCGGATTCACACACATATCTCCCCCTCCCTCCCCCTCCCCCTCCCCCTCCCTCCTCCTCCTGCCCCTCCTCCCCCCCCTCCCCCTCCTGCCCTCCCACTCCTGCCTACGCGTCTCTACCCACTCGTCGTGTGGACGGCCACTGATGGTTATATATATATATATATATATATATATATAATATATATATATATATATATATATATATATATATATATATAATGTGTGTGTGTGTGTGTGTGTGTGTGTGTGTGTGTGTGTGTGTGTGTGTGTGTGTGTGTGTGTGTGTGTGTGGTGTGTGTGTGTGTGTGTGTGTGTGTGTGTGTGTGTGTGTGTGTGTGTGTTCGCGCGCGAGTG